GAGATTTTGATCTTTCCCATTCAATGAGATGGAATTATGTCTGCATGGCTAAAAATAGCTGCTTGAGGGCATTACAAATATGACTGCAAATATATATGGATTTCAGTATTGATAAACTGATATATAAAAGTAAAATGTGAAAGTTCAGCAAACCTTATGATGTTTCTGACTGTGTTGCTGCAGCTGTTTCACAGATCCTTCTGAAGAATCCCAATGTTAGATTTAGGAGCTTATTTTCATCATCCATTCATCATTTCAGTCTGATATCAACAGTGTGATGTTGTGGAGGCTGTTACTGAAGGACAGAGCAGTTAAAAACTATATTAAACCCAAAAGCAGCCCATGTGTGAGTGAAACAAATTACTAAAACTCATTTCACATGTGAAAAGGGCAGTTGCATGAAAGTCTTAAAGGCACAGCAGCAAAAACAGCCATGCAGGAAAATAATCATGAAAAATAAATAAATTGATGAACTACTAAATCATTACAATTTGATTTTTTTTGAAGTTTTAAATAAAATATTGGTGTATGTATTACAAGGAAATACTATTTATGCCATTCCACTTCCAAATTTTATACTTTACGTTTTATTCAATGTGTTACTTGCCATTTATTTGTATTTATGTGTGAATTTTTTCTAGTAACTTCTGAGTGAAAACTGTTTTAAAGTGAATGCTATAGGCCTATATCCTATCCTGAATTGTTTTATATGACTCCTTTAAAATATCTAGTACAATTTAACAAGTGTTTTTGAATTCAGTTAGAGCAAACACACACAATTTGATTGTTTTTTATCCAAACCTGAAAAACGACAAATCACAGAGAGCTACAGTAAACGACAGATCATTCCTGCATTCCATTGTAACAGTACAAACAAGCTAGTAACCACAGTTTGTTTCCAAACGCTGCGAGCAGAAAGCAGTGACACTGACAGCAGAATTCCAGAATCTGGAATATTCTGTCGCTGCCGACACGAGATATGTGGCACTGAGTGGGAAGTCTGTGAGGTTCAGGCGTTCAGTCGAAGCCTTGCCAGTCGCTTTGCTCGGAGTCGTACTCGAGTTCTGCTCCTATGCAGCGCACGCCTTCCAGCAGCATCGGAGTGCCGTGATGACGGTCTGACAGAGGAGAAGAGTCGTTTACAGGACTACACAAGTTAAACTCTAGATCTGTGCACAAAACAGGCTGTTTTAAAGGAATAGTTCACCCAAAAATGGAAACTTGCTGAGGGTTTATTCATGCTTCGGTCATCCAAGATGTAGATGAGTTTGTTTCTTCATCAGATTTGGACATCATTGCTCACCAATGGATGCTCTGCAGTGAATGGGTGCCGTCAGAATGAGAGTCCAAACAGCTGATAAAAACATCACAATAATCCACACCACTGAAAAACTATGTGTTTATAAAAGAAACAAATCCATCATTAATGTGTTTTAACTTCAAACCATTTCTTTTGGCTAAAATACAAATCTATAATCCATAATATTGCTTTCTCCATTCTCTCCATCAGGAGAGAAATCGGCACAGATTAAGCACCATTTACAAGTGAAAACGGTTTAAAACAGTTCTAAACAAATATGTGGGTGTATTTTGATGTGAGAGGACAACAGGGGATGGACCTTTTCTCTGGATGAAGTGTTATTATGGATTATGGACCGGTATTTTAGCTGAAAACAATGGTTTGAAAAGAAAATGTTTTAATGATGGATTTGTTACAAACAGCTTTTTACTTCACAAGCCATTAATTGATCAGCTGGAGTGGTGTGGATTATTGTGATGTGTTTATCAGCTGTTTGGATTCTCATTCTGACGGCACCCATTCACTGCAGAGCATCCATTGGTGAGCAAGTGATGTAATGCTACATTTCTCCAAACCTGTTCAGGTGAAGAAACAAACATCTACATCTTGGATGGCCTGAGGGTGAGTAAACTATCAGCAAGTTTTCATTTTGGGGCGATCGATTCCTTTAAATACTTTTCCGTGCGATTTGCTTTCACAAAAGCTCAACAGGCTATGCATTATGTATTATCGTCATGTTTCATCATCGTTTCCCCGCCGCAAGCCTGTTATTGGCAGATCTCAGTCGATGAATTGTTTGTATTGGGATCTCAGACTGTTACCTTTCTCACCTGTCAGTCATCGGCTGTTTGTTTTCCATCCTCCGTGTCTTGATGTGCGCGTCGGCGGGTATCTTTGTGTCTGAGATGACATTCTGATTGCGATGACTCTAATTTGAGGATACACATAGACACCCCCCAGAGGAAAGGAGCAGGGGCTTGTGGGTAGACTGACCTCTCCTTGATGTTTGGTTATTGGCTATTTAGCAGACGCTTCTTATTATGAACAGCGACTTACTAAGTACACTTACCACAGGCAAAGTCCTGGGGTTAAACACCCGGCTCAAGGTCACAGTGGGGCAATTTTCCAGGTCACCAATCGCCCCTTCTAGGAATCTACAACAGATTTTAATTGAACTTACAGTAAGCTGACTTTGACTGGAAGGGTCATATTTGACATCTAACGTGAAAAATGGCTGTTTACCAATTCCATGAATCTCTGGCAAGTCCAGTGAATAGTTTATCCTCAGAAGAACTCATTATTGCAGATGGAAACTGACTTTGTCAGCTATCCAGTGGCTTTTATTTGTGTGCAATCTGCATCTGATGGTCAGTGGGCGGTCAGCGGATGTGCCATCTGAGGCTGTCTTACTTAATGCAATTTCTTATATGCAAACTCCATTTGACATTCAGATTAAAATCAGCATAAAATGGCATTCAAATCCATTTGATGTGTGAAACAAAATATTCAAATAGAATAAAAAGTCATCTTGAAAGGAAAGCTTATTGACTTAGTAGTCGACTAATCACATTTTACATTGAGGCAAAGAAAGTTATTATATTTCGATTAAAAGAAAACCATTTTTTCTTTGCAATAACATGCGCTCATAAACCATTCAAAATAACACCAGGACGGTGTGTTAAGAAAGTAAATAAGTGAACTCTGACTTCAAATCGTACTAAAACCTCCACTGAAGATTGCTGTGAGCTATTATACTTTGAAATTAGGAGTTAATTACATCGTTTAACTGAGAGAGTTTTTCCATTATGAAAGCGCAGATATGGTGTACATTCTTGACGAGAGGCTCAAAAATGTAATTTAAAAACCCTCAAGGGTGGTGATGAACCTCTTTATATCTCCTCAAATGTGCGAGATGGTTAATCTGTCCGTGGTTACAGAAAATGAAGCGTAGCACGTGTCTCGGCAGTAGATCATGTCATTTAAACTTCACATCTAAACATCTCGTTGTTTACATAACGAGATGGTTAATCTGTCCGTGGTTACAGAAAATGAAGCGTAGCACGTGTCTCGGCAGTAGATCATGTCATTTAAACTTCACATCTAAACATCTCGTTGTTTACATAAGCAGCCCTCATCTCTGGCTTCTCCTGCTCATGCAGCTCCAAGGCTTTCTCTCTCTCTCTCTCTCTCTCTCTCTCTCTCTCTCTCTTTGTGTTGTTTTGAAACACTGATCATCTCTGATTAGGAGGAAGTGCTTCCCTCCAGACATGTGGCATTTCACACTCATTATACCTAGCTGTGATCGCGCCTCTTTTCTTTATCGCTAAAATCAGTCCTTTTCTCTCTTGTTCTGATTTCTTGTGTCTTTATAACAGAGACATCAACTCATTTATAAGGATTAACAGCCTATAGACTGGCACAGAAGGGGGATTTTGTGTGTGATTTTTTATTTTTTATTTTTTTTAATAAATCGCAGCGAGCCTCTTGTGTGGCTTGCAAAGTTGCTGCCTTTAGAGTATTCCAAATCAGTAGCTGTGAGTGTTATCTAAAATTAAAATTAAATCCCTTAAACATTGTTTTTGATAACTGAAATACAGCTAAAAACAAAATAAATATTAGATGAAAAACTTACAGTTGAAAAGCTAGAAATGTTGCAACTAACTGAAACTGAAGTACTAAAATGACTAAAAATGAAATAAAAATAAATGGCAATTAAATAAAATTACATAAAAACAAATAAAACTCACAAAATGTAAAAACTAAAAAAGTTATGAGGTTGCATTTAAATGATTTAAATGATAATTTGTTGAAAATGTACTTACCTCAGGTCATTCAAGATGTTAATGAGTTTGTTTCCTCATCAGAACAGATTTGTAGAAATGTAGAAATACATCACTTGCACACTACTGGATCCTCAGCAGTGAATGGGTGCCGTCAGAACGAGAGTCCAAACAGCTGATAAAAACACTACAATAATCCACAAGTAGTCTAAGTAATCTACAAACTGCATGTTTGCAGATACTTCAAGATGTTTTTAACTTCAAACTGTTGCTTCCCGCTAAAATATGAGTCTCTATCCATTATATTGCTTTCTCTAGTGAAAAGGTCATTTCGTCTGAATCAGGAGAGAAATATGCACAGATCAAGCACCAATTACAAATAATAATAAAAAAAACTGTTGTAAACAAATTTGTTGGTGGATTTTGATGTGAGAGGAGAACAGGGGATAGACGTTTTCACTGGAGGTGAAGTGTTGTTGTGGATATATTTTGGCCAGAAGTGACAGTTTGAAATTAATGATGTTTCTTACAAACACACATCTTTTAGCTTCACAAGACATTAACTGATGGACTGGAGTGGTGTGGATTACTTGTGGATTATTGTGACGTTTTTATCAGCTGTTTGGATTCTCATTCTGACGGCACCCATTCACTGCAGAGGACCCATTGGTGAGCAAGTGATGACATTTGTCCAAATCTGATGAAGAAACAAACTCATCTACATCTTGAATGGCCTGGGGTTGAGTACATTTTAATTTTTTCAACAATTTCTTTGCGTTAGGATGCTTCCTTAGAAGGCAGCTGTCTATGTTGACAACAGACCGCACAGCAGACACTCCACGCATCACTTTACAATCAGTCGAGTGACCCAAAACGTTAGAAAAATCCCATTTATTAGCAAAAGCAAAAATCTTTAAGCTGTTACATTTAGATATTTAGACACATTTTACAGGTCATGACTATTGCGATATATGCAGGACATCATTTAAGATAGTGGTCGTCATCATCATAAACCAGTATCACTGTTACAGTTACAATGTATTATAGATCTCCTTTGTTAAGTGGTTACTTTTAGTGGGCTAAGATTTATTTTAATGGTAATATTAGCTAAGAAAGCCACATACTTCATAATTCATTGGTAAAAACAACAATGAACGGGTATAGCTTTAGCTATAAGCTGAAATGAAAGCTTAGCTTTATTTGTGTTAGTACTTCCACATCCACACAGCAATCACAAACAGATGAACTACTATGATTTACAACAGACTCTCAGGGACAAGGTGTAATTTACAGCAGTCAAAGGCAGGGGCATACACTCATTAAGATTTTAGGGTATCGTTTAAGGTCATTCACTTCACATTATGTCGGAGACACTGATAAACATCAGTGCAGATTCACAGATTGATCATACACACTAAGACAACATCATAATGAAATATCAGCACTCACTTGACTGGGCTTTCGATCAATTATGACTCTGATGAAACCCTGAAGCCCGGCTCTCTCATTCTGGTTGATTTCATGTGTGTCTGTTGAAGGTTTTTGGGCAGATTCAAGAATCGAAAACCACTTCCTGTTGTGTTCTCGTTGGATCCAGGCTTTAAAACCACATGACTACTACAACAAAACATATAGGGCCATTCCCTTCAGGGGGGCATAATGAATCATTTGACCCTTTAAACAAATTATCTTGTGTTTTGTGACTCACTTGTGAGTGTATAGCTGTTGAATTTCAGGTGAAAATACCCTGCAGCAAACAAAACCGTAGAGGTAAAACAGAAATGACAAAGAAAAATAAGCAATCCTAAACATGTCAGGGGTGTTATAAACATCAGATTTACAACCTAAATCAATGAAGACCCCCTAACATCTCTTACCTACAGACTGAGACTGAACTCGATGACCTTTTGACCTCTAGTCACTGTACAGAATGAAGCCAGTGAAAGTGCTGTATTTGTTGCTGTTCCCGCCGTGCGCTTTCCCACCGTCCAGCTTGATGAAGATCTCGTCCCCGGGGTCGAGGTGCAGGATGACGGTGTTTGAGGCGTAGTCATAACTCTGATCCTGATCCTGAGCGATGGCACTGGCTCTCACCTGCAAAGAGAGGAAGAGAGACCTTCAGCTCAATGTGACATTTAATGCAGCTGTTCAGTTTTTAGACTAAAAAACCTGAAAGAGAGTGACTAATGATATTTATATATATACTGTATCTTTAAGATTTTGGGATCAGTAAAGTTGTTTTTAACGAAATGAGAGAAGAATGCAATAAATTGGTAAAAAGTGACAGTCCAGACATTTATAATGTTACAAACGATTTATATTTTAAGTATATTTGAACGTTTTTTTTTATTCAGTAAACAATCCTGGGAAAAAAAGTATCACGGTTTCCACAAAAATATGAAGCAGCACAACTGTTTTCAACATCATAATAATAATCAGAAATGTTTCTTGAGCAAAGCAGTATATTAGAATGATTTCTGAAGGATCATGTGACACTGAAGACTGGAGGAATGATGCTGAAAATT